ATGGTGTCAGGATGGCCCTGGTCCCCAGGCCAGGCAGGTGCAGGATGGATTGGAGGTGAAGGACTGCATGGGGAGGCAGGAAGGAGGGAGGAGGATGGAGGAGGAAGGGGAGGAGCAGTGCAAGCCGGACACACGCGGGCCAGAACGCAAAACAGGAAGACTGGGATCAAAGCCGGGACCCAGTCGGAGTCTAGAGCTTCCCCCTCTCATGCCCATCCCTAAAACATTCCTGTGATGCAAGTTCCGGGAATTTTCAGTTTAGTGTCTGGGCAATCCATGCCATTTTTTCAATTACAACTTTGCGGTGATGTTCTGAAATTTGGGATTCACGGTTTGTCTTCCAGCCTCATCACAGACTGAGCATTCAGCTGTTTCCTATAAAATTTCCCTCTGTTGGTTTCTTCTATGGAGACAGGATGATCAATTCTGCTCACTTGCCTTAGGGACAATAACGATCAGATGTGAACCAGCCCTGGAGTTTTAAAAGTCAGTGATGGATTCCGGGGCATCGGGGTGAGGTGACCCAGAGGACCCAACCGTCTAACCCTCCTCCAGGCAATCCAGCATGTCCGCGCCTGACCTGCGGCGGGCAGCGTTAGAGACTCTGGGTAGGGGGTTGCCAGGAAGGGCAAAGCCAATACCATCAAAATTCCAGAGTGGGATTTTTAATGTACATATGCCTACTAGCTCGGTCTGTTCCGGCTGCTATAACAGAATATCATACACTGGGCAGCTTATCAACAAATGAAATTTATGAAATGAAATTCTCGCAGTTCTGGAGGCTGGGAAGTCCAAGATCAAGACACCAGCGGACTTGGTGTCTAGTGAGGGCTGCCTCCTGGTTCCCAGATGGCACCTTTTTTGCTGTGTCATCACATGGTGGAAGGGATGAGAGTCCCTTTTATAAGGGAAGTAATCCTATTCATGAGGGCTTCACTCTCAAAACCTAATCACCTCCCAAAGGCCCCACCTCCTCATACCATCACCCTGGGGGTTAGGTTTTCAGCATGCGACGTTTGTGGACACACAAAACGTTCAGTCCATAATACCTGCCTGCCCTTCCCCCAAGAGGCTAATGTCCCCACCCATCTATCACCCGCCTTCCAGGTGAGGACACACTTCTAATCCCAACACTTTCCGTTTACAAGTGAGTACAGATTCAGAATGACAAGGTGACTTCCCCAAGTCATAGGGCCAGCCAGTAGGAAAAGCAGCACTGGGAACCAGGCCTCTGGCCATCTCTATGATCCTGCGATTCGATTCGTACAACCAGCAGTGAAGACCCTCTCGTTTCTACCCAGCAGTGTGTGTGGGGAGGGGGAAGAGATGATAAGCACTTGGATTTGTACCTGTCTTATTCCAAACTCAGAACGCGCCAGAAGCAGCGTGATTAAGGCCCCTCCTCCCGCGTCACTGGCTTCCCGGCTGCAGGGCACCCACTGGCCCGTCTGTCCATCAGAAGTAGCCGGCGTGCACCTCTCCCCGGACAGACGCACCTTCTTCCATGAGTCCTTTCCATTTCAGGAAGCTGTGAACAGCCAGGAGCTTCAGGGAGCTGGAACAGGACTGCTACCCATGGGGAGGAACTGGGGTCACAGAGGCAGGGCCCAGGTTGGAGCCAGCCACATCCTTCTGTAATTCAAAGGCCTGGAACTGGTGTAGCACTGGGACCTCCGTAAGCTTCTGGAACTTAAGAAGCATCTCTGATCTGGGCACTCTGTGGCTCGATGCCTCCTGGTCTGCTCTTTAGATACGGCGCTGTTCCCGAGGTGAGCGTCCGCTGAAAACAGAGGGGAGGGCTTGCCCATTCTCCTTGGTCTGTCTTCAAGGGCGGTGACTCTGCACCCACCGAATGAGAGCCCGGCACTCAGGCAGAGCAGGCCACACTCCGGCCCCTGCTCGCACACTCTCCTCCTCCCCCAACAACCCGTCTTCTCCCTCTCTGCCTCTCTCCCTCTCCTTTCCAAGCTCTATTCTGAGGCTTCAGGCATGCACTACAATCCTTTCCTTGAGGCGTTTGCCCTGACGTCTGAAAAATGACCGCGAGCCCCTTTTCTGAGTGGCTCACTAAAGCCAGTGTAGACTAATACCATTTTTATGTCCTTTTCTTCTTTCCTCCCTCCTTTTAGCTGCCATCCAACTTGAACATCTTAAGCACATTCTTGCATCAGCCAATCAAGTTGTTTCTGCCTCCTATCTGACTAGTGCAGAATCTAATTTAAAACTTAACCAGGTGAAGCAATCAATACAATATGGAAATCCAGGACTTGACCCTCTGCGTAAAGCACAAACAAGAATAAAATGTATTTACTAGAATAATTGCTAGTTTCAAAGTGTCTAATAATTGCTCCCTGCTAGAGTCAAACCCTTGGAGAGGAAGAAAGGTGGAATTAGCCAAGGGCAGATGGAGAGTGAGCTGTTGACGCCCCCGCAGTTGCAGAACCATGAGGTGTCTGTCCCCTCACTGGCAGAACCCTGGCTCAGGGCGGCCGGGAGACAAGCGACCCCCTGGCAAGGACGCTGGGCCCAGGGCTAGGGTGACTGGATGAGTCAGGGCTCTCCAGAGAAACAGGCCAATAGGGGAGATGCACAGAAAGAGGCATGATGAGGGCGGGCTCACGTGATCATGGAGCCCACGAAGTCCCCGCAGGCCGGAGAACCAGCTGACCCTGCGGTGTCTTTCCAGCTCGCCTACGAAGGCCTGAGAACCGGGGCTGATGGATAAGTCCTGGCATCAGAATGCAGGAAAGGGTGGCTGACCCAGCCAAAGCACAGACGAGGAATCCACCCTTCCTCTACCTTTTGTTTTATCTGGACCCTCAAGGGACAGGGTGATGCCACCTCCATCGGTGAGGGTGATCTTTCTCACTCAGCCACCAATTCCAATGCCCACCTCTCTCAGGGACACCTCACAGACACACCCAAAAAGGATGTTTTGCAAGCTGTCTGGGCATCGCTTGGCCCAGCCGCGCCGACACTAAATTAACCATGGCAGGGACCACCTGTTTCTAACAGGCTTCGCCTGGCAGCCCTGGACCCGTGGCAGGGGCAGTGAATTTTACCTCTGAAGGTCTGTTTTGTTATGCATGACTGCTTGTGGGAGCCATGGTTTTTTTTATCCAGCTGATGGGAGCCGAGCCCCACCCATCTCGGCTGCTGGGGGGACCACGCGGGGTGTGCGGCCAGGCATGCTGTAATCTCTAAAGCTCGGCGTAGATGGTGGTTCTTTTCATTAAATGTGACTGGCTGCATGGTAAACAGTCATGGAAAACAGATGGATAAACCAACCAGCCACTGGTGCTGGAAACCTCACGTGGCCAAAGCAGGGGAACACGAGGACGTACTTGGTGGTGTGCGCAGCCACGTGGGACAGAGGTCAAAGGCTAAGTCTGGGTTCTAGGAAGAGCTGGTGGGTTCTGAGGAGAGTGACATCAAGTTGGAGCAGCTGGCCCAGGAAGCCTGGTAAACCTCAGAGTCAGGGGCCCAGATGAGAAGCCTCTGTTCAGTTTGGTTCATTTCAATGCAAATGAGCCCAGGGATGGTAACCCTTTAGGGTATTGTCAGTAATGCCTGTTTTTCTCTGAAGAGCACTGGGTGCCTTTGGGTGGGGAGGAGTTTGCACCCCAGAAAGGCCCCAATTAATTTTAACTTTTCAGGTCCAGTTTTCCTTCTTGTGTTTTCATTTTATGCCAAGGGAGGTGCAGGGGAAATGTCATCTTCTCTTCCAAAAGCAATCTGAAGAAGTGCTTAGCTTGCTCAGTTCGCATCTACCCTGTGTCTTGCTGGAGCTCAGCATGCATGGGCCCTGCCTCCAGAGAAAGCCTGCTTCTCCAGAAGATTCCATGTGTATTCAGCTCGTTCTACTTACCTGTCTCTCCCTGTAGCTTTCAAGTCCCCCAGATGGGGGGAGGGCAGGGAAGGAAGTCTGGTTTCTTCTCTGCTCTGGGTTTCTCAAGAGGGCTTAAGCCTGTCAGAAATAAACAGAATGGCGGGGTTCCCCCTGGGAATGTCCAAGGGCTCCAAGGGCAGGTCTGGAAACACGGGTCTTCGGTTTCACAAGCCCGTGTCCCACAGTGGGGTTATCTTTTCATTCACTTTGTCACTTACCATGCAACTGGCATTGTTGTCTCTGCATCAACCTCACCCCACAGTAATTCAAGGGAACCCTGACAGTGACACATTGATCAACAAAAGAAAGAGGACCCAGGCCTCCTGAAGCCAGCTGCGGGCTAGGCCCCATCCCTGCAGCCCACCCTTATCAGCTTAAACTGTGCCCCCGCTGCTTTATTCTTAGGAGCCAGCACTTCTTTGAGTGTTTTCACTTGCTTTTCTGTTGGGTTCATCCCCAGGTCCCCAGCGTGATGGTGACCACCTGGCATGTCACACCACTCACAGGTCTCCACTTGTAGGGTGTGCGCTCTCACCAGGGGAGGACCCCCAAATGTGGGCTGGACTTCCCACCTAGAGATCGTGTGCTTCTGTGTTGCAATGAGCCACCAGTAATCCAGGAAACTCTAAAACAACCCTCAGGGGAGACTTTGGGTTGTTAAAGTCTCTCATTGCCCAGATCTTACCTCTGATTAATCTCTGATCTGATCCCTGATGTCTACTAGGCTCATTCTTTGCTCCTAGAAGACTTCAGGGATCTTTTTGTCCCCCCCCCCCCAGAACGTGAAAACATTGCCTTAGAATCCGTCCAGGACTCTGGCTATTACAAATTGGCTGGTGTTGGCTGGAAATTGAAACCTGTTCACATCCCCGAATGTGGCCCAGTTAATGGTGGAAGGGCTCAGTCACCACGGCCACAGAAATGGAATTTAGTACTGTGTGGTATAAAACGATTATTTTGACAGAGAGGCAGTATGTTATCCAGGAGGAGGGTAAAGGTACAGCTTAAAGCTATCTTTTGATAAATTAGCAGTGCATGTTGTAATTCTTAGAGTACTCACTCAAACATCATAAACACATTGCTGTCAAAATCAAAATTCTGACCAGTTGAGTTTAAAGAGCTACTTGGCTTTTATTAGCAATTCATGAATCAGGCAGCATCCTGTCTGAAAGTAGGAGTTCCACTGGGCATAGCAGAGTGGTCGGTCTGTAAGGTGCCTTGAACAGGAGCAAGGAAACAGCATGATACAAAAAGTGGATGGGTTAGCATCAAGTTTCTTCAAGTTACTTTCCTTGTAATTGCTAAAGCAGAGGGGACTTCCTCATGCCAGCTTTTTGACTGGTTGCTCTGAATTTCTTGTTTGTTTGTTTGTTTATTTGTTTTTAAATGGCTTGTTTGGGGATTTTTCTGATTTTTAAAGTTGCAGTTGGCTACATGGCACTCAACACAAATGGCTCCATTTTGGTTTGCTCTGGGGCCCAGGGCAAGAGCTTAGTCGAAAACAACAGCCTCTTGGCAGTCATATTTAACACGGTACCCTCCCCAGCTAAGAGAGGGAAATCGAGAAAACCTGAACACGGAGACTAAGCTCAGATGGGGCCAGAGGTCAGGTCGTGGGCAGGGACAGGTGGTGGCCGTGCTGCTCTTTGGGACTGTGGTGAGGGTCGTGGGCAAACACAGACTGTTACTGGACAGCTGCAGCTTCCTGCATGTCTGCTTGTGCTCGACCTCCCCTCGGGGTGTCCCCTCAGCACCCAGCTTCCTGTCCCGTGGACCAAGATGCCTACAGCAAGGAAGGTGGGTTGAAGTTGGCATCAGACGGGGCGTGTGCTCCCAGAAACAGTTTGACTTCAGGAGAAATGTGAAAGGGTTGTCTGTCAGAGGTTATTTTCCTTCTTTATTTTCCTAAGATTTGCCTATATCTTCACTTTTTGACCCAGAGATTAGAGCTCAACGATCACACTACTGCTCCCACTTCCATCACCATCTCAAACAACCAGACTAATTTTAGGAAATCATCCCTAATCACACCAGAAAATAACCAGAGAGAGTCTCCACAGCTTTACGTGCAGATACAAAAGAGGGGACAATTCAGACAAATGTCTGGTGACTAAGCATGATCCATGAGTTCCTACATTCAGTCAACGCACATTGACTCACTGCCTGCTATGTAAATTATCGCTGGCATTTATTGAGCATTTACTACGTTCCAGACATGATTCCAAGCATATCACATATATTTATGTCTTTGACCTTCCCAACATCCCCACAAAGGAGGTCCCATGATGATGCCCATTTCATAGGTGAAAAAAAAGATGCAGAGAAGTGAAACAACTTGCATGAGATAGAAAAGAGGTCAGTAAGACCAGGCGCGGTGGCTCACGCCTGTAATCCCAGCACTCTGGGAGGCCGAGGCAGGAGGATCGCTTGAGCACTCTGGGAGGCCGAGGCAGGAGGATCGCTTGAGGTAAGGAGTTTGAGACCAACCTGAGCAAGAGGAAGACCCCATCTCTACTAAAAATAGAAAAATTAGCCAGGCATTGTGGTGCTCGACTATTCCCAGCTACCTGGGAGGCTGAGGTGGGAGGATCGTTTGAGCCCAGGAGTTTGAGGTTGCAGTGAGCTGTGATCACACTACTGCACTCTAGCCTGGGAGATAGAGTGAGAGAAAGAAAAGAAAAGAAAAGAAAAGAAAAGAAAAGGAAAGGAAAGGAAAGGAAAGGAAAGGAAAGGAAAGGAAAGGAAAGGAAAGGAAAGGAAAGGAAAGGAAAGGAAAGGAAAGAAAGAGAGAGAGAGAAAAGAAAGAAAGAAAGAAAAGAGAAAAAGGGTCAGGAAGTAGGGGACAGACCTGGACATTAAACATGGACTATCTGGCCCCACCTCGCCATAGTCTCTGACATGTGACAGCTCCCAGGGCAGTCTCAACCCTTAGTGAGCTTTAGGTTTAGCAAGGAAATAAGCAGGTACACACATGATTCTAAAACAAGACAGCATGAAAACCACAGAAGAATTACAAGTGGTGTAAGTGAAGAGGGAGAGATCATGCAATGACGAAGAAGAGAGTGGCTTTGGAAAGATAGGAAAGATTTCACCAGCCTCACCAATAAATACCAGCTGCAAAGCTAGTCATGCGAAGGGAGGGACAATCCTGTCAAGAGTAGAAAATAGTGTGAGCAAAGACACAGATTCTGAAACCAAGTGACATTTGAAAAATGGCCGGTGAGGCTGGGTTTCCTGCAATGTGACAGTGACAACAGCAACAACAGTAATGATGGTGACGTGTTTCCATACATGTTGCTGGGAGAGCCAGGCGCCGACCGCACCACTGCCCTGGTGAAGAACTAACAGGAGCTCATGCCTGGTTTCCCCTGGACTCCACCGTATGTGTCTTTTGCTCGTGCTGATTTTAACCTGTTTCCTTTTGTTGCAATAAATTAAAACCATGACTATCACAAAAAAGTGATGCAATAATAATGATGAAAAAAGTATTTAATACTTCCAACGTGCCAGGCACAAGTCTGAGCACTTTATGTATACTAACTGATTTAATCCTCACCACGACCCTATGGGATGGGTAGGATTATCACCCACATTTTATAGATGAGGAAACAGATACAGTCAAGGACAATAATTTTCATGAGGTCACAACGCCAGGTGTGATATTGGGGTTCGAATCCAGGCAGACTGGTTCAAGCATGACACTAGACTGCCTCTTTCCCCTCATAGTAGGATAGAGCCTTAGTGACAGTCAGGGAGGAACAGAACACAGGCTCTGCAGACCTGGATTTGAAGACCTATTTATTAGTGATGTGACCTTGAGCAAGTTATCAAACCCTCTCGCTATCAACTTCCACTTTTATAAAAGGAAGACAACGCTACTAACCTTGGAGCATTGTGATGATTAGAGACCAACGTATGTCAAGCACCTGACATATAAGGGGAGGAAGGGTATTGAAACACCAGGTGAAGGAATAAATACCCAATTTGGTAGATGCTCTTTAAAGGCCTTCAACAAGTAACAGGGTTGCAGCCTCACATGAGAAGAACCATCTGAGAGGAGTTTGTTGAAGGAACAGGGTCTTGGTTGGCATGTCCACACATTCCCATGAATGCCAAAGTCCTCAGAATCTCATCAGAATTATGTCATCTAGGAATTTATTCTATCAAAATAGAGATGCACTAAAGATAAATATATAAGGGTGTGTTATTTTAAAACAAATAAATGAGTTTTTATTAAAAAAAAAGAACCGGGTTAAAAAAAAGAAGCAAAACAAAAGAAAAAAAGCCAAAAAAAAAAATAAAAATACTATGTTAGAGGACTATATGATGATTAAATGCTCATAGTGAATTATTAAAAGTAGAAAAAGAAGCAATATATAAGAGTCTACATAGTATGTCTTCATAAATATACATAAAAATGTGTACACGTGCATATAAAACTGAAAAGCTATTTAAAAAGTGTTAACAGTAATTCTTGGCTAGTGGAATTGTGGGTAATTTTAGTTTCCTTCTTCGTAGAGTCTCTATTTTCCAAATTTTCAGAGTGCCCATGTATTACTTTTTATATGAGAGAGTATTTAAAATTTTTTAAATATGTTTTAAAATCTTGGATATATAACTTTAACTGGGAAATTTTAGTAACAATGATAAACCTACCAGACAGATAGTGATTCCGAAACATATCTGCTCAACATGGCAGATTACTAGGTATTTTGTTTTATTTTTATGTTGTTGTATGTAAGTCGTTTTTGTTTTCAGAGTAAGGATTCAGGATTTAAAATAAATTAGACCAAATGGAAAGATTTAAATCTCCTTTCTTCACTAAACCTTTTAAGAACTGGGGCTTTCATCCCAGTTAGCCAGGAAAAGATGGACGTCCCAAATCAGTGTGCGGGTGTGAAGAGACTTCTACAGCCGGACATCGAAGGATGGCAGAAAGGCATGAGTTCTGCTGTGAAAATGGAAGGAGATGTACGCTTTATCTTACTTCTGGGTTTCTCTCTGTTTCAGAAAACCTCTGCATCACAGCAGAAAAAAACATTAAATTATTAAGGTCTGTGCTTAAGAAGCTGAGGAGAGCTGTTTTATGAACACCGTTGTGACCATTAAATCCATTTTACTGAGGACTGTGATTTTATTTTCTTAAATTCATGGTGACATGCTTACTTTGAATCATGTAGGGTGGCAGGCACATTGCTTTATGAAATAGTTTCCTGGGTTTAAAAAGGACCTTAGAACCTTCAGGAGAATAAACAGCAAAGAGAGGCTCTTCTGTCTGGAAAATGACCCAAAAGGGTGGGTTATACCTAATGCTACAGGATTGTACACTTAAAAATAGTTAAAATGGTAAATTTTATGTTATGTGTATTTTAACACAACCAAGTTTTTCATATAGCTTAGATTCAAATCCTTTATCATATATATTTGACAAATATCTTTTTCACGCTTTGGCTTGCCTTATCAGTATTTTCCAAAGAGAAATATCTTTCATTTTGATGATGTCCAATTTATCAGGTTTTTTTATGGTTCATGCTCTTTGTGTCCTAAGAAAGAAACTTTTGCTCAAAATGGGATCACAATGTATTCCTATTTTTTCTTCTACAAGTTTTTTCTATGGTTTTAGATCTTAAGTTTAGATCTGTGATTCAATTTGAGTTGTTTATATATGGTCTAAGGTTCATTTTTAAAATATAGCATTCTAGCCCATTTGTTAATAGACAATCCATCCCCCCATTGAATTACCTTGGCATCTTTGCCAAAAATCAACTGGCCATATGTATGTGGTCTCTTTCTGGACTCTTCATATTGTACTTTTGGTCTAATTATTGATTTATGCAATTATATTTTAAATCAGTTAAGAGTTAGAGACAAAAAAATACATTTATACCTTCTTTTATATTTACCTATGGAGTCACCTTTACTGGTGTTCTTTATTTATCAGATGGATTCCAGTTATTGTCTAGTGCTCTTGCATTTCAGCCTGAAGTGCTTCCTTTAGTATTTCTTGTAGATCAGGTATACTAGAAACAAATTCTCTCAGTTTTTGTTTACCTGGGAATGTCATAATTTCTCTTTCAGTTTTGAAGAAATATTTTACTGGAAATAGAATTCTTGATTGATAGTCCTTTTCTTTCCAGTACTTTGAACATGCCATCCCACTGTTTCCAACCTTCATGGTTTCCAGTGAGAAGTCAGCTGTTAATCTCACTGAGGTTTC